AATTTACACAAATAATACAAAATTAATAATTCAATATAATACAAGAATTAATACGTAATAGTAATAATATTACAACATATTATTTAAAATAATACGTAATAGTATCTGTAAACCAACGGATAAATTCCAAAAATTTTCATTGCACTAAATTAATTTATAAATATAAAAACCATTTAAATAAATATAAAACTTAGACTTTAAATCATAGAAAATTCTAGAAAATCAAGAAAAATACAAATACTCTTTTAAAAATCATAATTAAATATTTTAAAATACCAAAAAATTATTTTAACTAATATCAAAATTTTACGGTCATTACATTGTACCCCCCTTAAAACAAATTCCGTCCTCAGAATTAAAATAAGAACCCAAGGACAGATATAGAACGATATCCATAAGAAGAGAAGACATGAAACAAGGAACAGTGGGAAGATCCGGAGTCTAAGAATGATAAGATTGGGACGAAAGGAAATCTATCAAGAATATAGAATAAGGACAAGAGAATAGTCTTACGGATGAAATATGATATGCGTCTAAATTATTCATTATATTCTCACTGGTGGTAACTCGGGACCGGAACCTTGACCTGCGTGGGCCACCAAAAAAACCTGTCACGCCCCGCTTCCCAAAATACCAGGGAATCGGGACGCGAGCAAGCCCGCGACGTATTAAACTGAGAAGAGATAAGTGCTAAACCCCGTCTTCTCAATCTAATACGCTAAGCGTCAAGAAATACAAACGAAGGCACAGGTCCCCGATCACAGTAATGAGAATATAATAAACAACTCAGAACCAAAAGATCCATATCACTACTGAAATGATCATCCAGACATAATATTCGGGTCAACATGCCCTTATACAAGACTAGCTATCTGAATAAATACTGGAAAATATAAAATACAACGATCAGGCGTAAATAGGAATGCTAGAAAAGTAAACTAAGGACTAACATCTGATAAAAGAAATGACTAGGGTTCGGCTTCTTCTGCTCGGTCTACAGAGTACTCCTGCGGGGGATCCTCTGGCTCCTGTACGACTCCGAACTGAACCTGTCCGTCCTCTAAATCTGACGTACACCATAGAAAACAGGTGTACGTCAGGTGCATGGCGCACGGCAAGATCCCGAAAGGAAGAATAGAACGGTCGTGTGACTAATGCAATAATGGCAATAACAATAGAAACATACAACTGAAATACTAATAATCTAAATATAATTTACTACTAGAATAGAATAATCATAATAAATCCAAGAAAATCAACCAAGTAACAAGTCGATCATGGAACTAGCGATCAGATTAATCATCCAAGTAACAAGATCATACTAGATGGAATTAATACTTAAAAATCTACAACAAGAGACGTAGTACGTCGAGCGAAATAATCCAAACAAGGAAACCCTCATGTATATACCATATGTCTCGAATTATAGATAATTAAATATTAACCCCGATCTAGGTATGAAAATAAAACATATCTGGTCTGTATCTCACAAGAACTCGTACTCATCCAAGAAACGAGTCATGTAGCTAGCCATCCTATAACAGGTCACTGGTTCACGTCACACACAGAGTCAAAGTTCATATTATCGGATATCTGGTTAACAAATCCCCTTTGTGCTTCCAATAGGACTCCACGCAAACCGATTCGGCCTGGTTCGAACTCAAGCCGACCCGGGTGAATATTCACATTCACGAACCAAAGTGACGCAACAAACCTTCACCGTGGCCCATCAAACCAACCCCAGTTCGAAACAAACCTAACTGGTGCGAGTCTGGAAGATACTGACCAAGTGCGAAACGGTTCACTTGGCCCAACAAACTAACCCCAGTGCGAAACGGTTCACTGGTTCTAGTCTGGAAGATACATCAACAGTCTTATCCGATCACATGAACATTAACTTCCCCATCCCAACTCTTCTCGCTTTCTAAGTCAACATACACACAGGTTTCTAAGTCTTAAACTGGACACACTAGGCCACACTAGTCATGAATTTCTAACGGTTCTCAAACGTAACAAAGAGTAATAACTGCAACTAATCATATTCAACAATATCATAGCATATCACATAATTAAAATTAAGAAACATAAATCATTCATAATAATCCCTTTTCTAAAGTAAATCTTTTAAAAATATTTATAAATGTTCTAAAACAATTCTTTTTATAAAACTTTCTTGAATTACTGAAATTATTCTAAATTGATACTTAATCTAAAATAAATTCTTTTAAACTATAATTATTCTAAAATAATTCTTTTGTCAAATAAATTCTATTGTTTTATTATAATTACTCTAAAATGATTTTTCACCAAAATAATTTATTATAATTATTTTAAAATGATTATTTTGTCAAATAAATCCTTAAAAAATCATAAACTAATCTAAAATAATTTTATCTTATTTATCTTTACAGTATCTATTATCACAAAATTATTTTTAATATCATTCGTCAAATAAATCCGTACAGGTCATCACAGTATATGTATTACAATATGAATGGTCATACATTATTGTCCACAGTCCATTTCGTTCACAACAGTTCTATACGTTATAGTTCTCAGTCCAATATGTTCACGACAGTCCCGTATTTGTAACGAATAATTATTCGGGTAGCGAGTTCGTATGCATAATAAATTTGTGCTCAATCTAAAATTATACTGAGCAAGAATAGGGATCTTGCAAGCAGTTAATTAATTCAGGGCGGATCTAAGAATTGAATAATAAGTCAAAAGAGTATCGGGATCTTGCCTCGGGGTTTTTGTCAAACGATTCGACGTCGACGACACAGATCTGATCTGAGCGTCGGTCGCAGCAAGTTGGGGCCACGTCAGCGAGAGAGGTCGTCAGTAATGTGACAGCGAGGCCTACGACAACGGCGGTCGGTCAGGAAGGCAGGCGCCTGGGGTGGTTGACGGGGCGAGTTGTCCGATGAGAGGGAGCGGGCTGGGCGCTGTTCATGGAGGCGTCGGAGGGAAATGGGGGCAGGCTGGGGTGCTGGGCGTTGCGGGGAGGAGATGCAGGCCAGCGTGGGGTGGTCAGCGCGGAGCATGGTGCAGGCGGGCCATGGCTTCGAGCGTGGTGGGGGCGGTAGCCAGCCGACTGGGCAGCAAAGACTGGCGGCGGTCGGGCAGAGAGTCGTTCGAGGTCGTGAGCGCGGGCGTCTGGCGGCCCCCCGTCAGTTCGTCGCGAGCAGGCGGCGGGCGGACTGGACAGTTGCGCGGCCGAACTCGGCGGCGTGTCTGAGGAGCTCGAGCTCGCTGGTGGCGGGGTCCTTGGGGTCGGGGTGTCTCGAGGTGTGGGAGCAGGACGAGCGGGCGGGCTGAGTCTCGGAGGCGAACTCCGGTGGCGCCTGGCGGGCGAAAGTCGGGGGCGCGGCGTTCGTCCGGGGGCTAGTGAGCCTCGTTTGAGAGAGAGAGAGAGAGAGAGAGTACGAAGAGAGATATGGGGAAGCTGGGCTTTAAATAGGGAACAAAAATAATAAATAAATAAATAAAATAAAATAAAATACTGAGGAATGATGCGCGTGGAGCAGTTGTTTTTGAAAAAAATGCAGAGGGAGAGAACGGGGTTGTTGGGGTTTGTCGCGGTGCAAAATAATGTTGGAGTATTTTCAAATAGTTTCAGGTATTTAAACGAAAATAATTAAAATAATTAATTTCGGGTACTTAAAAAATAAACTAATTACATAATAATTATCTACAAATAAAAACGTACATGTTGAGCTAATACAACAGTTGATACGAAACTGTCGAAATATACCCATATTGTACAATTAAAATGAAATAATTAATAATAAAAATATATTTACTTACATTTAAAATCAAATAATTATGTGACAATTATCGACACGATAAAATGTACCAGTTATGCTATTACGATAGCTGATACGTAATAATACAATAATTTACACAAATAATACGTAATTAATAATTCAATATAATACAAGAATTAATACGTAATAGTAATAATAATACGACATATTATTTAAAATAATACGTAATAGTATCGGTAAACCAACGGATAAATTCCAAAAATTTTCATTGCACTAAATTAATTTATAAATATAAAAACCATTTAAATAAATATAAAACTTAGACTTTAAATCATAGAAAATTCTCGAAAATCGAGAAAAATACAAATACTCTTTTAAAAATCATAATTAAATATTTTAAAATACCAAAAAATTATTTTAACTAATATCAAAATTTTACGGTCATTACAGAGTGACTTCGCTATTGGAGGGGTGTTGATGCAAGAAGGACATCCCGTGGCCTACGAGAGTCGAAAGTTAAATAACACCGAGAGGCGGTACCCTATTCAAGAGAAGGAGATGACGGCCGTGGTCCACTGTCTCAGAGTTTGGAGGCATTACCTACTTGGGTCCAAATTCGTAGTAAAGACAGACAATGTGGACACTAGCTATTTCTAGACTCAGAAGAAGTTATCTCCTAAGCAGGCACGATGGCAGGATTTCTTGGCAGAGTTTGACTATATGCTCGAGTACAAATCGGGAAAAATCAACTTAGTGGCAAATGCGTTAAGCCGGAAGATAGAACTTGCTGCTATGATAAGTCATCCTCTGAGCACCTTACTTGATCGTATTAAGGAAGGTTTGTCTAATGATCCTACCGCCAAGAACATGGTGGACTACGCAAAAGAAGGCAAAACTCGAAGGTTCTGGCTAGAAGGTTGCTTTATACCAAAGGGAGACGAGTGTACGTGCCATTGTTTGAGAATCTAAGGTGGGAGATCCTTAAAGAATGTCATGACTCTCAATGGGCGGGACATCCAGGTGTGCATAGAACTCTAGCTCTTGTAGAAGAGACGTATTATTGGCCTCTCATAAGGGATGATGTTGAGGCCTACGTGAAGACTTGTCTTGTGTGCTAACAAGACAAGACAGAGCAGAGAATGGCAGCCGGACTGTTAGAACCATTACCTATTCCGGAGAGACCTTGGGAAAGCATTTCCATGGACTTCATCATGGGTCTACCCAAGTCAGATGGATCCTATTCCGGAGAGACCTTGGGAAAGCATTTCCATGGACTTCATCATGGGTCTACCCAAGTCAGATGGATACAGCATTCTTTTGGTGGTGGTTGACCGGTTCTCTAAATACGACATTTTCATTCTAGCCCCAGCCAAGTGTCCAGCCGAGGTAGCGACACCACTATTTCTGAAGCATGTGGTGAAGTATTGGGGGCTACCAAAGTCCATCGTAAGCGATCGGGATGGTCGCTTCACAGGAAGGTTTTGGACGGAACTCTTCAAACTCATGGGGTCAGATCTAAACTTCTCCACTAGCTTCCACCCTCAGAAAAATGGCCAGAAGGAACGGGTAAATACCTTGTTGGAGGTATACTTGAGACACTATGTGAGTGCTAACCAGCAGGATTAGGGGAAGCTACTGGACATAGCCCAATTCTCCTACAATTTGCAAAGGAGTGAGTCTACAGGGAGGAGCCCATTCGAGATCGTCACAGGTCAGCAACCACTCACTCCAAACGCTATTTCTACAGGTTATAAGAGAAATAGCCCAGCCGCTTACCGATTTTCTAAGGAGTGGCAAGATCAGAACGAATTAGCACGCTCATGCTTGAACAAGGCGGCAAAGAAGATGAAGAAATGGGCCGACAAGAAGCAAAGGCATATGGAGTATCAAGTTGGAGACTTGGTCCTTGTCAAGATTTCTACATTGGATCGACATAAAGGGCTACACAAGAGCTTGATACTCAAGTATGAGGGCTCATTTCCAATCGAGAAGAGAGTGGGAAATGTGGCTTACATGGTAAAGCTTCCCCCAACCGTGAAGTATCATCCGGTCTTCCATGTGAGCATGTTAAAGCCATATCATCAAGATACAGAAGATCTAGATAGAGGAAAGTCTAGTCGAGCTCCAATAGGGATTCGTATAGAGTTCGATATGTTAGCCCTTATGTTTTGATGATAATTTACAACCACCATTATCGGTACTAATTGCTTGTTGAATGATATTGTAGTTAATATGTATATCAAACTTGTTAGTACTATATATGGAGGATTGTATAGAATATGAGCTACAACGTCAATATCTATAGGAGGTGGAGGCCTTGTGATGAAGCAAATGTTAATCAAAAACAACATATACAAGTGAAAGCTTCATCAAATCAAAGCAATATCAAGACTCAAAGAAATGTTATTCTATGTGAGGATATTTGCTAGTTTTTCTTTTCTCTCTAGTGCTAGATTGTAGGCAATTAGTTGTACAATTCATTTGAAGCTATTCGAGATATCACACACACTTGCACACTTTCAAAACTTGTATTTTGGTACTTTTGTCAAAATGATGTTTTTCATAAATACGAGGACCTTTTTACAAAATTCATTTTCAAACAAGTTTGTCAAAATGATTATAAACTATTTCCAAAGTTTTATATTATTTAGAATTTATCTGATATTTTTAAACATGTTTTTAAGTTCAGTTTTCCTGTGTAAATCTGGTCTGTGCATGTTTAGTCGACTCATAAGTCGACTCATGAAGTGCAACCTAGTTGTGATTTTTCTTCTGCTTAGTCGACTCATATAAGCCGACTCATTAGTCGACTCATAAGTCGACTCATGAGTCGACTCAAAAGTCGACTTATCAGAGAGCCGTTGCAGAGTAATGGTTAGTTTTAAAAAACCGGATTTTGGGGGATTTTGATGATTTTTTGGGGTTTTGGCTGCTGTTATTTTTCACTATAAATACCCAACTACCCTATTTATTTTTCCTACCAACTTTGCAAGAGAAAAATCAATTGTGTTTAAATTCTTGAGTTCAAGAGCCTTAACTTTCAAAATCCAATTCCTTGTTTTATACTTGCACATCCCACATCCAAAGCTTCAAGTGCAATCTCTCTCCTTGCCATAGGGCTGTTGTAAGAGAGAGAAATTCTTTATTTGCTACCATTGATTGTGTGGTGATATCGTGGAGATCAACTGTGTCGTGAGATCTCGTGCAGATCAACTGTGTCGTGAGATCTTGTGGAGATCGCTGTGTAGAAGAAGTTCCGTCTTCCAAACCGGGATGTGTAGTGGATTATCCTCGAGAGTGGGGAGTGGGGACGTAGGCTAGAGAGCCGAACCTCGTGAACACATCGCACGTCATTTGGATAACGATTTCTATCTTATCTCTTTTTAATTTAGCATTATATTTTGTGGTGTTTGCTTGTCTTAATTTTTATTGCACAATTATTGCCTTAAGACCCTAATCACCCCCCTCTAGGATCTAGCAATTAGTATCAGAGCTTGGTCTCTATATTATTTTTTGGTCTAATCATCTTAGAGAAAAGATCTTATGGAGGCTTCAATGAATGTGCATATGTTAGAAGGACAATGCACCACTAGACCCTCACTTTTCACCGGTAGTAATTTTGCATATTGGAAAGCTAGGATGAGAATCTATCTCCGTTGCATTGACCTTGACATCCTAGACATCATTGAAAAGAAATATGTATAAAAGCCTAAAACTAGCTGTATGACCGATGGTGAGAGGCTCCAAGCCAATCTCAATGTAAAGGCCATGAATGCCTTAATTTGTGGCCTCACACCAAATGAACATAATAGTGTTTCTACTTGTGCTACCGCATATGAGATTTGGACCAAACTTTGTATCACACATGAGGGAACCCTCAAGTTAAGGAATCAAAAATTAGTGTGCTTATGCATGATTATGAATTATTTAAAATGCTTCCTAATGAATCCATTGATGCTATGTTTTCTCGCTTCACTAATATTATCAATGAATTGCATGGCTTAGATAAGAAGTTGTCACCCCCAAGAGATGAACTACAAGATTCTTCGATCATTGTCTCTGGTGTGGGAACCCAAAGCTACGGCCATAAAGGAAGCTCACGATCTCACCACACTTCCCCTTGATGGTCTCATTGGCAAGCTCAAGGTCCATGAGAAGAAAATCAAAGAGAAAGAGAAGGAGGAAGAACCCCCACGGGTAATCGAGGAGCCATCCCAAAAGAAGACAATTGCTCTTAAAGGAGCTATTGATGACTCCTCCTCCTCGGATAGTAAAACCAGTGTTTCTAGAGAAGTGGCTCACCTCTCTAGAAGAATTTCTAAACTAATGAAATTAAACAAAAATCTTAACCGATCTAACAACAATTTTTCTCCTCGTATAGGAAAATGTTTTGAGTGCAATGAATCGGGTCATCAAGCCAAGGAGTGCCCAAAGATCAAAGAAAAATACTTGAAGTACAAGAAGAAGAGGGCGATGTATGCCGGATGGGATGAATCCGAGCCAAGTGACTCGGATAGCTATGAGGAGGGAGCTAAGTTTTCTCTTCATGACCATAACATTTATTTTATGGCCAATGAAGATGAGGTAATTATATCTATTTATATGCAAATCTTTTTATATAGCGATGAGGAGGGAGCCAAGTGACTCCGAAAGCGAATCTTTTTATATGCAATGTGATCTAGCTACCGCATTAGAAGAGTTAAATTTTGAATTTAAAAGAGTAGTTAAAGAATACTCTTCATTTAAAAAATTGCATGCTTCCATGGTTGAGCAATTACAATCCTCTCTTGCTCAAAAAGATGAATTATTAGGAGATCTTGATTTTGAAAACAAACAATTAAAATCTAAAATTGAAAGACTAAAAATTGCTAATGATAAAATTAAACCCACTCATGCATATTCTAGACATTACCGTTTTTAAAGAAATGAACATTATAGATCATATGCTTCTACACATAAGAAACACTTTGTATGCACATATTGCATGAAGCATGGTCACATATCCACCCATTGTAGAATTAATAATAATGTGAATTTTTATAATATGTCATAGGTACCCAAAGGTACCAAATACACTAACTCCCAAGGACCCAAGAATTGGGTACCTAAAGTTTCTACGTCATCTTATGTAGGGAACATCACAAACATGACGTAGAGGGATGTGATACCTTGATAGTGGTTGCTCACATCACATAACAAAGAGCTATTTACAACCCTATCAAGGATTGAAGGAGGTAATGTCTCCTTCGGTGGTGGTGAGAAAAGTAAAATCATTGGTATTGGTAGTATTGGTAAGATTCCTTCTCCCGTTATAGAAGATGTTTATTTGCTTAGAGGCTTGAATCAATTAAGTGATAAATGTTTTGATATCTCTTTTAAACCAGATAAGTGCATTATTAGCATGAATGGAAAAATTGTTTTTGTTGCTAATAGAAAATCTACTATATATATTTTTGAGATGAATGAATTAGTTTATCAAGATATGAAGTGCCTTGCGGAAATTGATGAGAATCCTTGGATTTGGCATAAAAGACTTGGTCATGCCAACATGGAATTGATATCCAAGCTATCCAAAAGAAATCTTTGTAAAGGGGTTACCAAACTTACATTTCATCAAGGATACCGTTTGCGAAGATTGTGCTAAAGGTAAACAAACCAAATCTATCTTCAAATCCATCAATGAGGTATCAACTTCTAAACTTTTGTAATTATTACATCTTGATCTATTTGGTCCTATGCGTGTTACCTCTCTAGGAGGAAAACACTATGTGTTTGTTGTTGTTGATGATTTTTCTCATTTTACATGGACAGTCTTTCTTAAAAATAAAGATGAATGTTTTGAGAAATTTTCCTTTTTAGTAAAAAGAATAGAAACTGAAAAAGATTTAAAAGTTGTTAAAATTAGAAGTGATCATGATAGTGAATTTCAAAACAGTTTTTTTTAATGATTTTTGTGCACATCATGGTATAACTCATGTATTTTTTGCTCCAAGAACACCACAACAAAATGGTGTTGTTGAACGAAAAAATCGCACCGTACAAGAGATAGTACGTACTATGTTAAATGTTTTTGATTTACCTAAATATTTTTGGCCAAAAGCCGTTAATTCGGATTGCCATGTTTTAAATCGTGTCTTGATTAGAGCCAAGCTCAAGAAAACTCCTTATGAACTCTTTTATAACAAAACTCTATTTATTGGGTATTTTTGTATCTTTGATTGTAAATGTTTCATTTTAAATACAAAAGATCACCATGATAAATTTGATTCAAAAATTAATGTTGGCATTTTCTTAGGATATGCACCTAGAAGTAAGGCTTATAGGGTCTTCAACAAAAGAACACTTGTTGTTGAAGAATCTATAAACGTTACTTTTGATGAGACTAATATTGGTTTACAATATGGTTTGCCTAGGAATAATGATGATGATGATATTGAGGGAGGATTGGAAGGCTTGCTACTAAATGAAACATCGTCAATACACGCACAAAAGGATGTGGAAAGCGTCAACACTCATGAACAAGAAGAACTTCCCAAAGCATGGAAATTCGCATCAAATCATCCAAAGGAGCAAATTATAGGGAGTCCTTCACAAGGAGTTCTAACCCGCTCAAAGGCCTTGAGTGAATGTGGTAACATTGCTTTCTTATCTCAAATAGAACCTAAAAAGACTAATGATGCTTTAAAAGATGAGTTTTGGATTTTAGCTATGCATGATGAACTAAACAATTTTCAAAGAAATAATGTTTAAAAACTAGTTCCTAGACCTAACAATGTGAGTGTGATTGGAACAAAATAGGTTTTTAGTAACAAGAAATAAAGCTCGTTTAGTTGTCCAAGGATACAATCAAGAAGAGGGTATAGACTATGATGAAACCTTTGTACCGGTTGCAAGGTTAGAATCTATTAGAATGTTTTTAGCTTTTGCAAGTTTTAAGAATTTCAAATTATTTCAAATGAATGTTAAAAGTACATTTTAAATGGTTTTATAGAAGAGGAAGTATATGTTGAGCAACCCCCCGGTTTTGTGGATCATTCATTTCATAATCATGTTTACCGGGTTCAAAAGGGTTAAAAACAAGCTCCTAGAGCTTGGTATGCTCGCCTCTCTAGTTTTCTTATTGAAAATAATTTTTCTAAAGGGAAGATTGATAATACACTTTTTATAAGAAA